TCCTGTCTCCGCGATTATAAATTTATTGTAGCGACCCCCTGGAAAAGATTGAGGATACCCCAGCATAAATTATAACGAAACGGGAAAATCCGTGTCGTTACAGTAGTAATTAAACGTCAGTTTAAGACGGATGTGATTTATTATATTTAATTATATTTATTATTGTTAAAAATATTTATTATATTTAATTTATATTAAACCTTATTGGCATTTTGATTAACCAATTTTGTGTACAATGTTTTTATTTGAAATAATACAAACAATAGTTTATTTTATTTGACTTTCAATTATTTTGACATAAGCTAATACTTTTCAATGAATTGACTAATAATCAAATCCTCTGGCACTTTCCACTCCAACGCTTCTGAAGGTTCTCCTCTTCCTAAACAAGTGAAATATATCAGAGTATACTTTTAATTAAAAGTCATTTTTATTTTAATTTTAAATAACAAAGGAAGTTTTAATTGTTTGTTGTTTGCTTACCAGAAACTTCTCACCTCAGGCATTGGTTTGTATTTTAATTAAGAATAAAATGCAACCAAATCATTGTTTATTTATTTATTGAAGGCAACTAAGCTTTAGTAATTCGAAATGCTGTAAAATCAATACAATTGCACAACTTTTAACGAGCTGAAGTTTATCTATGCATATTTGCTATTATTTGAATTGCAAATTCCTCAAATTTATGGGAAAACAATTCTTTCTAAACTTAAGTTTACACTTGGCAAGTTGAGAACTGCAAAAGTCTTAAGCACACCTTCCGGTTTAATTGCCAAGTATACAAAAAGTTATTTCTTCCTTGCATTTTATTGAGAAACAGAAATACACAAGCACAGGCTGGCAAAATAATAACCATTATAACCACTGTTAGTTCCAGAGCAGTAAATCTCATTGAAACGATACTAGTATTGTAAGTATTGAATTTATATTAAATACATTTAATCCATGGAAATATTTCTAAGAACTACGAATTGAACAGATAAATAAATGCAAATACTGCAGTTTATATATTATTTTGCTTTAATCGCAAACTGCTCGTTTCTGTTCTACTTATCTGTACCATTTCATTTGCAATTAAATCTCCAAAATTGATGAAGTACCAATAAAAATTACTCCTTCATAGAGGCAGGGAATTTATTAATTGTCTTAAAGAATTGTTCTAATTACTACAATAGATTGCTATCGGCATTAGCAATTACGAAATCTAATTTGAATTATATTTGCTTTGCTTTCTTTAAAATTCGTAACATCAGCAGCAACAAAGCAAAGTAATTTCATTTAATGAATTCAATTGTAAAAGTGATTCAGCCATAAAAATAAAACTAAATAAAATTTACGATCAATGCAGTAAATTTCCATTGTGCTCATCAGATATCAGACTAAGAATTACCTTGCTGACAGCACATGTACATGCCAGTCGTACACACCGAAGAAGGCATGAGAAGTATCGTGTTCCTGTGATATTTGTACAGACAAGCAAATACAATTGAATAATTTACCTTCTGCTCGAATGTACATCCAACGTTTGCAGGAAGTGCAAAATCCATTCATTTTCAATTGAAATTAATTAAGCACTTGTGCTGGGCAATGAAATTTGTAGCATGCTATTAGGCGCGCAAAAAATCCACCTGCTATGAAAACTTATTACGAAACACAAAACTGGCACACTACGTATCTTGAGATATATAGCATGAAAACTACATCAAAATTAAGGATATAGCCTTTACGCTTGTTAAGTTCTCTCTCATTTTCTTAGCACTTCTTTTTCTTATGTTTAACTATTTTCGTTTAATTTATTTGTATTTTATTTCTTGCTCCCCTTTTGACGAAATGAAATTCTAACAAATTAATTGTTTGCAATAAATCGTTGCCGAATTTAAGGCGCTAACAATAGGCGGGTTCGGCTAACAGAAAGTTGATTTTGAAATTGCTAAGCATATTGCTTTCGTATAATAGATTACTGTAGTGTAATTGTAGAGGGAAAGTGTAATTTATATGCGTGTTACTTTCACCTTTCTTTCAAGGAATATCACGAGCGATAAGAGTTAGTAAGCCACATATCGAAATATTTAGTAAGAAAATAAAAGTTAGCCTGTTTTCAACATATTTCACTCCTAAATGCATGTAAATTTCCATTAATGAATGAATGGAAAATAAAAACCAAATCTCATTCATTCTAAAGAATTTTTAAATAAAGTTTTGATAAATAAAAACAATTTTCTTTAATGATAAATTACCACCAAACTGATTTATATAATATGAATTAGTAACATATTCTCAAGTTCCCAAGTTCGATTATAGTTAAACGATTATAATCAATTGAAAATCTGTCCAAAAACATTTAATTAAGTTAATTAGCATTGCATCAAAATTTTATGTTTTACGTTATTTCAGTGATATTAAAATCCGTAATTATCAGATAAACTACGAATGAATCCTACTTGTAGAATAAACAATTCATTTGTTTTGGTATATGGCTTTGGTACCGAGTCAAAATTCAAATTTTTGAAATAATTACTTTAATCCAAATTATTCATCTTCTAAAGTAATATTAGGTTACGTATCGCTCTGATTATATAAAGCAATTAAATCAATAATATAACTTCTTAAGAGTGATCGTGGCTTTTATCATGATGTAAAAAATTTTTAATACTTACTATATTATTAAAAATTAATTGTTTTTTATTACTATTATTGTTGATTTATTGTATTACTGTTTATAGAATTATTCATTTCTAAAATATAAATGGAAACAAAAGTTCTTAATACGAAATCAAGGAAAAACTTTTAAAGCTTATTAAATTATTAGTTAACCAGAAAAAGCTATAGCAAAACCAAGCGAAGTTGACTGATCAGCAAAGTTTTTGTGTCACGATCTTATATAAAGAATCTGAGTTTAGAATTGAGGTGAATGTAAGTCCTCCGCTGTTCCACCTTCTTTTTCGATGATTCAAATCAACCGGTTGTGAAGAGACTAACACTCTGTAGCTATAGAAATATCTTTGTGTAACTATATAATATGATTATGTATATAATCATTTATTCTATTTGACAGATATAAGTGTTCACCAAAATCCAAATTTATTTTATGTGAATGACAGATGAGCAGTTTTTTTTTATTAACACCAATTCAAATTTTAGTTATGCAACCAGCATTAAGTAGGCTTTACTTTAACGCTATAATATTACAAAATTAAATTATATATAAAAGAAACGACAAATAGTTACAGCTGAGATCTTAATCAAGTGGATTTATAAACATTATCTTTTATGTATTAATCAAACCAGAGGATTACAACAAATTTAAATTTATTGAAAGCGTAACGAACATGTTTGGGCTACGATTAATGGCTCACATGAAAATCTTGGGCCAAATTAATTGATGTATAAGGCCTATAATTAATAATTGAACTTAGGTAAATATCAGAAATGTTTGTTATGATGAGAGTTCCACCGATTAAAAACATAAATCGGTGAAAATATCGCTGTTATGAACCAAAGAATAGATGAAAATCAAGATACATATAATAAAAAGAATATAAATTTGTAATTAAATATTTGGAAAGGAAAAGATTCGTCGCTATTTAATTATATGGAAATATTTTTGAACAAATTTTATATAAATATATATTCATATAGCTCAACATCTGTGCTCATTATTAATTTAATAAATATGTAAAAAGAGCAACTTACCTGTAGATCACATTTTATTCCATCTAAAATAAATAGAATTTGTCAGTTATTTAAGAGAAATTGGAGTTAAACTTTTTAGGTGTTTAAAATATTGTTTAAGAATATAATCCTTTGCTTGAAAGATTTTATTGATATAATTTTGTCATTTATATTATAATATCATATAATTATTATTATGATAAGTAATGTTATGATATAATATAAGTAATATGTGTTTTATTTAAATACAGAAATATGACTTTATACTCCAGTATAATTTTGAGGTTGTTCTTTGGTTTAAGAAATGATATATGAGAGGTGGGCGTTGCAGAGCGTCAATAACAATTGCAACCATATCAATTTTTAATGCAAAAACTCTCAATATTCTCATCAATATTGATGAATATGAATAAAATCAATAAGATTGGATATTTAACAATATTAAAAGCGACTGCATGATCAACCAAAAAGATTTTATTATTTTCGTCAATATTTTAATATAATCACTTTCCGTAGTAGCGGAAAGTTTTTGAAATTTGTGATATTAATTATTAAAGAAGAATAAATTATGTATTTTTTTACATATTTAACATGTGCATATATTTACTTGCTATAATCAATAGAGCACAGTATATTCTTCAATAAAACATGTTTTTGCATGACGAATGTCATAGTTTGCCGGTATCTTTATCTGCTGGTTTGTAAATAAACAAAATATTGCTGTTGTTGACACACATTTTTTATTTTTTATTTTTTTGTTGACCATCGTAGGCTGTTTTGGAGTTTGCAATCCACAAACTTGTTTCAAGCATTTAACAAGAGAGACACCAAATATGGAATAAAATTATTTGAGTTTTTGAATCCATTCATTTAAACATGATGTTTTTAAATATGTGTGCTCTCTACTTATGTTCCATTTCTCTTACCCTCTCTGACTCTCACTCTTTCTGCTACTCTTCAACAGTTTCTAAAAAAATTGTCTGCTTAAAAAATAAGCCAATTAATTATGAAATTCTAATTGATGAGCATGACGTATGCACATATGAACAAACATATTTTGCTTCCACTCTGGTTTTCGAGCGGTCCAACAAATATTTGATAAGATAACCGCGCACTTGACTCATCCCTCGTGTTTTCCTAACTCTTGAATGGAATCAATTCAGGCAGCGATTGTTGGGAGTATTTTATAAATAATATTGTCTATATTTCTAAATATATTTACCGCAAACAAGAGAGAGTAAAAGTTTGTTTGTCGAATGTTCTGTTTTGTTTGCTTAATATATCTGAATTTTTGCCGGCAACGATCAGTTGTGAAATAAACAGCGAATAATTAAGACGCTTAGCGGCATTACTTTCTTCCATTATGGCTTCAGTAGAAGAAAATTTCGGTTTGAATGAGTTAGAAGTACCACAATGGCTAAATGCAGATTTTATTAAAAAGATTTTACAAAATTGTGAAAATGATAACGATATTGAAATAGAAAGATTGAACTTTTCTCCTGCTACATCCAGAGATGAACATTATGCCAGTGTCATGTTCAGAGCAAATGTATCTTACAAATGTATTAAAAGTGGCAGTAATAAGATCAAATCATTAATAATTAAAACACTACCTGAATATGAAAGTAATAAGAAGGAAATGCTGCAAGATTCCCCTATATTCGAAACCGAAATTGGCATGTACAGTAAAGTCTTACCAAAGCTGGAGAGTATGTTGCGAGCTGTTGGTGATAGAACAGTATTTACTGCAAAGTATGTAAACTTTTAATGTTCTGATGATAGTCTTTTTACAATGATGTTTCTATTTTTAGTTGTCTTTATCATAGTTTAAACCCTAAGAAGGTAATCGTTTTTGAAGATTTAATTCCGCTGGGCTATATGGCAATCCGTGATCGTGAAGTAACACTGGATGAAGTCAAAATGGCTTATTTAAAACTAGCAAAGTTTCACGCTACAAGTTTGAAACTGTTACAGGAGGTATGTGATATTTGACTTTTTTTTATCATTCCAATTTTTCATTAGGCATATTATTAGAATGTAAAGTATTGAGAGTGTATTAAATGCTTTTCGTATCATGCGACATTAACAAATCGATCCCAAATTTGGACATGATTGTTTTAGTACTCTTGATTTCTTCAGTCATGTGTTAGTTATAAATCGATTTTCTACTTTAACCGATCTAGCTTGTTCTGATAACTTTAATTTCATGAAAACCTTAAAAATTGTCTACTGTCTTAAACTTCATCCAAGAATCATATGTATTTATTTCACTTGTAACTTCATGCGTCGTCAAATGTCATATCATTATTCCATCAGATTCTATATTGCACATATTTTTTAAGATATTATTAATTTATATTAATGGAAACGATCTGAATAGCTCCATAGATTTGTATCAGCTTAAAGTTATAAAGACAGCGAAGTCAATATTTTAAAGTCTTTGGCTAACATTTACGTTTACAGACGTGTCCGAAAAAATTCGGATTCTTATTTAATTGATTGAAATGCTTTATTGCCGCAATATTCAATACAATAATTTATAATAAAAACTGTATAAATATTTTTTATCTAATACCTATTTCAAAGCAAGTAATTGTAAGAATATTTAAAATATCTTATGCACAAACAGAAAGGATAAAGTGAAGACAAAGTAATTAATATGTAGCTCTCTCAATACAAATGGTCACTTGAAAGTAACATTTTTCACATAAAGAATATGAACACTATAATTTATATATAATATATATACACATGAATCAGGAAGCAGTTGTTATAGCTTAATTGACTCATTGTGTAGGGAAATTTAGAAGATTTTTTATTTAAGAAACATAACAACAGTTAGTCTTTTATAGTCACCATAAAAAATAACTAATTTTTGTTTCGAAATATTTTAGGTATATTTCGGGTCAGCGTTGAACCTTTAGCTTGGAGCTGAAAGTTATATCCTATGACCTAATACAGCATTATTATTAGGCCAGAACGCAATGCGACTTAAATACATCTGTTGTGTGGATCTTTAACCCTGTATAGTACATTTATGCTTTTTGAAACTTTAATACAATTTGGAGTTTGTTATTCACAACCCCACCCAAATAATGAAGTTCTTATTTATCGATAATTGAACATTCAGGAAGAATTTTTTTGCTTGACTTTTTTACTGTTAAAAGATTTTAAACAACGAAAGTTAATTCATTTGTAAACGACTAGAGGCAAGCAGAACTATTTGTCTTCTCAAAATTATAGATACAATCATATTAAAATATTATATCTATATATATGTATTATCTATATAGACGTAATATAGACGTATAGAATAATATAATACATATATATTATTATATAGACTTAATAATAAGTCTATTTAATACAATCTTTTCACTAAGACATATGTTTCCATCAAAATTTAAATGTTTACAAGGAAAAGCAGGCTTTATCTACCGTAAATCTTTAATCCAGACTACATAACCAACTATTGTCTTGCTTCTAAGATTTGTACTCTTAGTGCACACTCAAACATTTAACCATTACAATTATAATTAGCAATGATGTAAATAGTACAGTCCATCTTCTTGTTAGCCAATTATAATAGATCTAACTAAACTTTATTTATATATTTTGAGGGTAAAAATCAAAGACGTTAAGGATTTTTAAATATCTCTGTTGATGAGCTTTAGGTATATGGCTTTTTTGTTGCTAAGATATAAAAAACTTTTATTACAAAATAAAAATTTTAAAATATTTTCCATTAAGAAAATATTTCAGTTTTATAAAGAAAATTCCAGAAATATTTTTATTCATTACTATATCCTTTTTCTGTTTAGTCTTCAAATCCAGAAAACGCAAACTCTTAACCATGTCTGTTTCTACAAATTTTAAAATAAACAATCACATATAAAGAAACTTTTACTACGGCATAAACTTTAAATAGGTCTTAATTACAAAATTTTCTAAAATATACAATAAATTATATATGAAATATTTGTATATCTTTTAAATTTTATTGTAAATACTAAAAATTTTGAATTTTCCGAAACCTTTAGCAACCAGCAGCTTTAGACGATATCCGTTATGGGGCAATGACCATGACATCCTGGATTGAGAGTGATTTTTTCTCGAATGGAATGAGCCGCTTTATATCAGCTCTTGATGTCACACCCACTTTAGTGAAATACAAACCGTACTTTGTCGCTATGAAAAAAGACTTAATTGAAAATTGTAAAAAATCTTTCAATGAGTACCGCAATAATCGGCAAGACAATGGTATCTATGCAGTTTGTCACGGAGACTTTCATTTTAAAAACATGCTCTTCAAACATAATCCCACAAATAATAAGCTTGAGGATATTTTATGTTGTGACTTCCAATTAAGTTATGTTGGTTCCATTGCCAATGATATTATATATTCGTTTTATATGCTATTAATGGCAGAGCATCGTGCAAACCATTTCGATGAATTACTCTACTATTATTTTACTCACTTCACAGAAACTTTGAAAAAAATTGGTTATAATGGGCGGATACCAAAACTTATGGAATTACGGGAGCAACTGTTAAGACACAGACATAACGGTAAGATAAGATAATTTAACTAAAAAAGTATAAGTAAATCTTTTTATATATATTGAATGATATTCTATATCATACATTATATACTTTATATTATAAATTTTTTATTTAATAATTTGTATAATTTTATACGTAAAAACATAAGTTGTATATATAAATATGTATATTATGTATAAATAGAGCAGTAATAGGAAATAATTGTTTGTCTAATTTACCCATTCGGAAATAATTTATACAAGAATAAGAGTGCAAGAACTGTGAGCCATTAACACATCAAAGTCTATGTTACCTATAAAAATCTTAGGGATCATTCCAAAATATTCAAGGCTTTTTCCAATTTGTTTTTAGCAAAATTGCTTGTTTTATTTGAAATAGATTCCTTGTTACTCAGAAAAGCAAGCACGATTTTATGTCCAAGAAACAACTTTTCTTTCTTCCAAATTAATTAATTAATTACGGTTTGAGGATATTTTTCCATTACATATTAGTGTCAATAGATGATTTCGACTTACTCTCTTGTCAGAAAGATCAGAAGTTTTGTAAAAGTTAAATAATACTACTTTCAATATCAAACGTAATATTCTATATTAAGATAATACCTTAACTTAATATCTTAATTTAAAAGATATTCGAAATTAATATATAGTTAATAAATTATATTTACATACAATAAAACCTATCCTTAAGGAAAACAACAAATAATAAACAGAAATATAGTTTTCCAATCACTCTTTGAGCAGTCCATACCTTCGAAAATACATCTGTTAGATAGTAAATGTAGTTAGAGAAGGTTAAGGATACTATAGCTAACATTATTTAATCTCGGTTGGAATAATGAAAGTTGAACTTAAAATAATGAGTAAATTCCCTTTTTAATATGCAAAATGATAAATATCTGCAAACAGTATAGCAATTTTATTAATTTTAATTCAGATTCAAATAGAATACAAAAATTAATTAAATATAATTATGCGGCTTATTAAATAAATTAATGATAAGGATTTTTTATACATACGATTCTTTACCTTAATGCAGGAATTGATTTTATTAAAACAAAAACTATAGAACAAGTGTTTAGGTTTTATCTTAATCGGACGGATGTGACATCCGAATAGATAAATTTGAGTGATGTTTAGTTTTCAAAATTAGTAATCTAAGATTTATTAAAAATAACTACATCTTCAATAAAAAACTATGTTACAATAATGCATTTAATTTTCTTTTTTAAAGCAATTTATATGCTCACCACTTTCTTGCCGTTCTGGTACGCCTACACTTTAAAAAAAGTGGATCCCGATGAATTGATGAGCGCAAAAGATGATTCGCGTGATGTGTTATATACAAACAAGGATTACATTAAAGAGTTACACACAATTTTACCGAGGTATTTGGAACTTGGCTATCTTGAAAATTAAGATAGTCGAATAATTCACTCATTCGGTTGAAAGTATGACATTAGGATGTCGTCGATAATTTTGATAAAAAAAAAAAGAATAAAAATTGTTTTTAATAAGAAAGTGATAAATGATTTTTTTTTATTGTCATTACATATAGATTTATTACTTAGCGCTACTTTTGTTTTTATTAAAACAATTAGTATTGTACAAAAAAATAAATTTTACTGCTAATATATGGAATTTTATTCAGATGTCATAAATAACTTTAATCAAAATTCGGTAGCGCTGAATTAGTAACAACGATAACTTTAGGATAACTCTAGAAATACAAAAATCTTTCTCTCTACGCTTCTAACAACCTGTACGTACCTTTGAAAATTATTCGAAAAATTATATATTATTATTAATATCAAATGTAATTGTTTCATATAAACTGATGCAAATAATAAAAAAGAATTGTCAGTTGTCAATAAAATACTAGTAAATTTGTCGTCCTTTAACAAATTATAAAGGAAAAAATAAAATACAAAATAAACACAACCCTGACACATTTACTATGCAACACAGCGACTGCATGCAGTAATGCAGTTTTACACAAAATTTTGTGTAATTTGCATGAATGCAAGGAATATCTACACATAAAGGATGTGCGCAAATCGCAATTGATTGCTATTTAAGTTGATTACAGTCATAAAAACTATAATCAAAATGTGATTTATAAAAAGATTGAATGCAGTTCGCATCAGTGAGTGGCAGTTGTGAAGTTGCAAATTTACACATGGCAAAAAAAATTATGAATGTTTCTGAATGCAAATCAATTCACCAGCTAAGCATATTTATTATTTCCAATGTGACATTGACATCTAAGAGCTAAAAGCCAGCTAAAAGAAGAAAATCTTCCTTCTCTTTTTCTCTATTGAACATAAGAACTTATTGATTCCATTTGCGATTTTATATACTTTTAAGTCGTTTTTACTTGAACTGGCAAACTCAAGATCACAGTTTTACACATTCTGTCAATGTCACTTATTGCTGATATGCATTCGTAAACATTGAAGCGAAGGTGCAACTTTATAACTTTGATATTTTTTACCAAACACGTAGCCACGCTGTAAAGCTTTGAGATATTTTAGTGATTCACAACAGCATGTGACTGCAACTAATTTAATTTTAAAGCATGTACTCATCTTGGTTTAAATAATATTACTGCAATATGTGCTTTTTACTGCTTAAGAACCTGAGCAGCTCAAACGGTGACTTGCAATATCTAATGCAGTTGAACTTTTATTTCAAATAACTTCCAAAGAACGTAATATGATATGTTTGGGCGTAAATATGTCGATGGAAATATTTTACATATATCCTTGCATTTAAAGATTAAGAACAGCTTAGAGCTACTTTTCTTTTTATCTAGCTAAGGAAATGTGACAACAACACTGTTAGTAAATTATAGCAGTAAGCATTTTTTTTCTTTAAATTAAATCTCCTAAACGTACAATCCCTTACCACATAAATAAGAAACATACATATATTTGAATCATCACAAAAATTCCCTAATATAGTGGATAGCTGAGTTTGTGAAAACTAACAATCAATAACTCCAAGGCATCGATAAAAGTAATCATATTATGCATAAACAAAACATTATTAGCTTTTTTTTTTCTATAAAATTCAACGAAATTATTCAAAAATATTAAACCAACTATGGAAGTAATCCGATAAAGGCTTAGGTAGTGTAATGAGTATGAAAAACCCATCTAAGTTATAATAAGTTTTTTTCTGCTAATCTCGTTTATAATATTTTTTAATTTTGTATATTACTGCCAAAGATAGTAAATGAGGAATCTGTTCAGACCAGTGAAATAATTTATTGTTTCACAGATAAATAATGCTTGTATGGATTCATATGAGATGATCCGGTTTAATTAAGAAAAGGTTGAATAGCCTATCAAGTAAGTAAATACCCCAAAAACAACAGCAGGGATATGGTAAGGGATATGGTTACAACCAAAACTAGCATTGGAAGCAGTGAAAGTGATAGTGCTGTCTTAACAAATTGTCTTAGAAAGAGTAGTAACTAATAAATATGAAAAATGTAGGAAGCCGAAATATATCTACCAAAAAACATTTTTCCACAAATTGTTCTAAAAATTTGGTGGTGTCCAAATTCTATAATAAGCATACAAACAAATGCTTTCTTAAGTTTAAGTTTTTTACTTTTGCTATTTAACCAAAGAGAAATAATACTTTAATGATCATTAGTTATATTCAGCATTATCAGGTTTCTATATTAGTGTTGTCTGTACACTGATATCTGATCTGCGTTTGAACAATGCTAATACATGGTATCACAATGGATTATTATTTGAGTTTAAACGGGGTTTGATGCTGCTATAATAATCTTTCTTAATCTAATCACTGTACATGTTCTTTATCTTTTTATTTAACAGTTTCTACTTTTAATATTTTTTGTTTTCTTTTATGCATCAAAAGTGCAATACTACTAACTTTGTGTTATGAAGAACTGAATTAGATCATTATTATTAAGAGATCAATAATTTAAAACACATATTCTGTACTATATTGTATTCTAAGCAATTTCAGCACATTCTTGTCTTTAACTTTGTAGTTTGTAAACTACTTAGTAATAGCTTACTACAGAAAGTTTTGTGGTGTAATAAATAACCTACAAAAGTACACATATGTAGATGTTTATTTATACATACAAAATGTTTCCCACTTAGATAGGCAGGAAAGGTTACCAATGAAAACTCTACTTTCAGAAACATTCACTTAAGAAACCCTCAGTATTGTAAAAACTATTCACTCACACCAGTCGTATTGTTATCACTATTGTGTCAAGAACTGGATACACTAGAAAAAACTTTTTGATTGTATATTAGCAATGTATTATCTGTAAATTTTATTGCTGGGAGGGAATTCTATACCCTATCCTTTTCCTTGGCTTTATATTGAATATTAAAAAATTTTTTTAAAAATATTGTTCTTATATCAAAGTATTTGCGATAAAAATTATTTCGCCCAATCATAGTTTTCGACACGATGCGATAAAAGATATTCAATCAAATAAAACCTGATACACTATTTAAATATTTTTGAGATGCTTTCAGCCATTTTCTGCTTGATACTTTTTTTAATGCTGTTTTTTTTCTATATTCCGTCTTCCGAAAAAAAAACTTAAAATATGAGACCCTCCCAAATGATAATTTTCATTTATTGGATCAAGAAATCACATACCGTATATTTATTCTATATTCATGTATGTACTCGTATATTTACATAGCTATATACAAAAATATGTATACATATAATATTAAACTTAATGAAGTATTCACTCGATAGTTCAATATTACCTCATTGAAAACTCATCGAATTGTCTCCAGTTGGAAGCTTCAATTGTAAAAGAAATTGCCAATTAAATCTAAAATTTTTCAAAAAGATACCTAAATGAAAACGATTGCATCAACTTTCACAATTAAAGATTGGCTCGAACATGCAGTTCACGTACTAATTATTCTGTTTATCGAGTTGTTAATTAAAGTAGTCGCTCCATGAGTGGTTGAGCTTACGAAGCTAAGATTAGATGAGAAACAGTTGGGTAAAAATTTTAAAAATCAATTTGGAAATATTTTTCTAGTCTTTCTGTAAAATATTTTCTTCTAATCGAATTTCTGACTAACTATGTTACAACCGGTTGCGTTGTAAGATTGCATGTAGCAGTGAGGTGGTTCTAATATGGCAGCATAATGCTCAACAAGCAATTTGGTTTCTGTAATGCAATTATAATTTTTCTTAAATGATGTTCCCTAAATTTGGTATTATTCGGAATACGATTACAGTGCTCAACATTTGCTGTTAGAGAATTGGGGAGTCACTATGGCTAGCTGCAATTACTGGATTTCAAATTCTGTTTTGCAACAAAAGGCATTTTAGTAGTTGCAGATGATTGGGGCTTAAGTGGAGCCAGTGCTGCTCATAGTATTCTCTTAGTACTATCAATGCAGCTAGTATAGTTTTACATTATTTAATGAAATAATATTACAATAAGAATTTATTTAAATATTTTGTTTAATCTCATGATGGCTCAACTAAATATTTGCTCGAATTGCAAATTGCAGATAATAATGTTGTATAAAACTTTTATTAAAATAAATTTTTATTTTTCCAAACAATATTTGTGTAAAAGAAATTATTATTTCGTTAAAAATATTGTTTATAAAGAGCATATTATTTAACTGAAAAAAAATAAACCCATTTCCCATTACAGAAATTAAATAAATTTGATGGCAAGAAAATATTGTGCATATATTTAATCACTTTTCCAGCTCTCTTTTAGGCATATTAAAATGTGCCGTTCTTGGTACTCTCATTAAAGATTAATTAAATCCTCTGAAATGCTGTGCATTATTAAAAGTTCATTATGAATTTTAGTAACATTTTCAGTATTTGCAGCGCAGCAGAGTAAAAGCGTCGCATTATGCAAAAAATTTCAGAACCTTGAATCATGAGTTGAACTCACTACCAAAATGAGATGCAACGATGCATTGCCTTTAAGTCTAAAATAAGCAAAATGATGAAAACTGTGGCAGCAACTGCATTTCTGTTACCATATCTGTGAAAACATCAAAAACAGCTGCAGATATTTACGCCGTTGTGCCTGCAACACGTTGCAAATGGCAGTTCGTGCAGGGATTTCCATGTTTTGACACGGAGCTGTCGCTGTTTCAGTGCTGTTGCTGCAGTTGCCAGTTGCTGCAGTTTATTTTGTGAAATGACTGAACTCTGTGTAATTATTTGTTGCCACAAATGTGTAGTTTATTAAATTGCAGCAGGTTGAATTTGTTATATTTCACTCAAATGCCACGTACATTGCAACGCAAGCAGCGGAAGTGCAGTTTCATTTCCTTCACAAACTTCACAAACACTTTTTTGTTGTTGTGTGCAGTAAATGTGCATACTTAGTGCTTTGGTAGTATGTATAATTTGGGAATACTAGGGTAAAATATGTAAGTAAAATTTCA